GGAGGCATTAGGAAGGCTGAGAACCACTGCTCTATGAAGAATGATTTCATTAACCATGCAACATAAAATTACATTGAGTACCTACTAAAGCGGATTCTGTTCTGGGCACTGGAGATAAGAAAGTGTACAAAGCAAAGTCCTTGACCTTGTGGACCCTGCATTCCAGTGGGTAGAAGCCAGATAAAGAAGTACATTATAGCATGTCAGCTGGTGATAAGACTTAGGAGAAAACTGAAGCAGGGTCTAGGAGCCAGATAACACGTGGAGCGAGCAAGGAGGAGTGGCTATTTGATACAGTGTGGTGGTGGTGGTGGTGGGGCCTCCCTAATAGGGTGAATTTAAGCAGACATCACAGAGAAATGAGGGGGTGGGGTATGCTACTATCTGGGGGAAGAACGTTAAGGCCAAGGCAAGAGCAAGCGCAAAGGCCCTGCGGTGAGAGCATGACTTGTGGTAGCTGAGGAAACAGGGTGGCCAGTCGGGATGTAACTTGGTGAAGAAAGAGATGTCAGGGTGGAGAGAAACAAGTCATTTTAAGGAATTCTGAACAGAGGAGTAGCATGATTGGACTTAAGTCTCAATATAATCACTCTGCTTTGCTAGAAAGGAATTAGAAGAAAGCAAAAGTAGAAATAAGGAGTTCAGTTGTCTTAGTAGGAGATGATGGAAATTAGAAATGGTAGAATTCTGAACATATTTTGAAGGTAAAATCAGTAGGATTTAATGATGGATTTAGGTTTACAGTATAAGATAATGAAAAGGGGGCCAGGTGTGATGACTACCACCTGTAATCCTAGCACTTTGGCAGGCCAAAGTGGGAAGATTACTTGAGCTCAGGAGTTCAAGACCAGGCTGAGCAAAAGTGAGACTCTGTCTCTACTAAAAATAGAAAAATTAGCTGAGTATGGTGGTTAGGCCCCATACATGGCCAGGATCATGGAGGGCAGGCCCACACCTCCAGGAATTAGGTTTTAATAACAAAGAACTAGATAAAATTAAGAAGAAAAATGAAGGAAGATAAAGGCGGCTGAAAACTGAAGCATGTGCATTCCAGTGTTTACAGATCTGAGAAATTTGGAAAATACAAAAGAGTGGAAGCTAAGTTGGAAAAGAAAGATGTGATCAACAGTGGCTACTGAATCCTGTCAGATGAGTTCAAAGACCTGATCACTAGATTTAGCCATGGGATAACCATATACTTTGGAATACTCATAGAAGGAAACTGCTTCCAGATTTTTGCAATTATAAATATTACTTCAATAAACATCTTTGCATAGTTTTATTTATTTTTTTTGAGACAGAGTCTCACTATATTGCCCTCGGTAGAGTGCTATGGGGTCACAGCTCACAGCAACCTCAAACTCTTGGGCTTAAGCAATTCTCTTACCACAGCCTCCCAAGTAGCTGGGACTACTGGCACCTGCCACAACACCTGGCTATTTTGTTGTTGTTGTTGTCTGTGTTTTTAGCAGGCTCAGGCCAGGTTCAAACCCGACAGCCCCGCTGGCCCCGGTGTATGTGGCCAGTGCCCTAACCACTGAGCATGGGTGCTGAGCTATGTACAGTTTTATGAAAATGGAGTTTTGGGAACTTGACATTTATATTACTAACTTGTCTGAACGACTATACCAGTTTATAGACAGAACAAAACTGAGTGTCTCTAAACTACGCTGAAAATTAACAAGTTTATAATCCTTGGTAATTTGACAGGTTAAAAGTATTATCTTGTTTTATTCTGCATTTCTTTATGGCCAAAACTGAGCATTTTTTTCATATCATTAACCATTTGTCTTTTTAAAAAAAAAAACTGTCTTTATCTCTTTTTCTAGGACACTGCTTGTCTTTACTGATTCGCAGCATTTGTTGTATGTTAATGCTACCTCTTTTTTTTTCTTCCTTTATACTACTAAGCTTACTTACATTACTATCCTGGCTGGAACTGCTTAAGAAGCCAAGAGAAACAGAACTGTACCAAAGCATTTAGGCTTTTGGTTTTTTTTTTTTT